ATAAACGTCGACTTTCGGGAGATGGATGACAAACTTCATGCCGTGATCGGTATAGTCCACTGTCGCTGAGAACGGACTTCAAGCTGTGAGCGGGGTTGTCCACTGTTGCCTTTACTCCTACTTCCGGCGGGGTGTTGCTTAAGACTTCCTGATTTCTGGTGCTCTGACAATTATTGACTGTGTTTCCCTAAATTGCAAGCGTTGCGAGTATAGATGATTGTGTTTTCCAAGATTCTAATCATTAGGACAAGTCTTGTTAGTATTTTTGTGATTGGTATTTTGTGAACTGGCAATTCGACAAGGGTTTTCATAATTCTAATTAGGTGTCCATTTTGTTAGTGTTTTCAAGATAATTTTAGAAGTGTTACTTCGTTGGATTACGTTCCCTGTCCGTTTTGCCCATGGGTTGGGTAATTCCATGACATCATCGACTATCCGTGGGTAAGACACTATTGATTTTTTTTGTGCTTAGTTGGTAGTGGGTAAGTAGGATGAAACCATTGAATATTTTGTTTATGTGTTGGTTGGTGGTCTGTTATCTAGCTTGGATTTTGCTAGATTAGGGTTGTTTCATAATGGTGATTTGGAGAAAGGGGTAGATTAGGATTTGAGTCTTGTTAAATTAGGGAACGTGAATTTTGTTTTAGGGTTGGGATTGGGGTCATAGGTTTCGTAACCTTGGTTGGACAGAAGTTAGCCACTGCTCAGGGAGAAGGAAGGACTAATGCATAAGTGATGTATCTGGTGCCGGATTAAGGCGAAGAGGTTCTCCCTTCCTCCCAACATCCTGCTCGGTCAATCCCCTGGACCCCAGGGTAATCAATGCCGGCAGGAACTCCTCACGAACTCCTCACTACTATGTTCCAGATAATTTCAAATTTTCAGTTAGTGTAAGAGACGTTGGACCCGTTTTCCAGCAGGTGCTGTTCCCCACCAATAGACGGAGCCTATGAAAAAAAAAAAAAGAAAAAAAAAAACCTTGGTTGGTGGAGAGTAGGGTTGTTTGATAATGGTGGTTTGGAGAGGGGGTAGATTAGGATTGGACTTTTGTTAAATTAGTGAAGAATTTTGTTTTAGGGTTGGGATTGGGATCATTGGTTTTCGTTACCTTGTGAGGCTGTGGTGGGGATAGGTTTGGTCGGGAGTGCCTTACTTAGCCCGTTTGACGCAGCAAATGATGTAAGGGACACCGGGCCCGTTTCCCGGATATATGAATACGAGTTGTTCAGTTTATTTTTCTTCATAACATAGTTTTTTTTTTCCAGATTTTTTGGATTTTTTTGTTTTTTTGCTGGGACCTTCCCTTTTCCTTGCAGGGGTTGGCCACCCGGGACCCGGCCGGCCCGGCTGGTAGCCTAGGAAAACGGAAAAATAAAACCAAGGAAAAAGAAAACCGTTGTGCTTTTCGTTCCCCCGAGAGAGAGAGAGAGAGAGAGAGAGAGAGAGAGAGAGAGAGAGAGAGAGAGAGAGAGAGAGAGAGCACTTTCATGGATAGGATGACCAAAATGGAATAAATATACCCCTACAACATCGAAATATACAGTCTTTATTTTTTT